TGAATTTAGCAGACCTCGCTAGTAGGGGGCTCCCCAACCCTTGGAAACCTAAATTTCACTACAATGTAGAACTAGGAAATTATTCATTTTATTTATCACCATTGTTATTGTTTTCTTTAAAGACATCATGTTTTAAGGCAGTAAATGTAAAATAAACCATTTAACTATTAAAGTATTTAAAATATGTAAGGACAAAATCCAGGACTTTGTTAGGTAGGGGCTGTCCCAATCACCTGCTCTCTGGATTGGCACATATGATAGCTTGCTTTAATTTATTAATTTATTATGTATAATAGCTGTTCTTAACAACATTATGATATGGTCTATGTATTTTTACATTAAGATTATTGATCCCTGTTGATACTGTGTAACTATATACTTGTACGATGTAATTGTGATATATGACACTATAATAAACAAAATTGACTTGACTTGACTATATATATATATATTGGTTATGCAATGACTACGAAAACGGAGATAAATTTTGAATAGAATTGGCAAATAGAGGATTTTCCCCCAAATTACTTACAGTCAACTAAATTAGAACAAATGTTTAAATAATTTTATTATGCAATGAACGTTATAAACGTATTGACGTACATATGAACATTCTACGGAAATATTTTAGTTATAACAACTATCGATATAATATGTATAAATATAGATTTGTTCCAATATATACTAAAGATACATGGTTGTGAAAAGTAAATCTACTCTTACTAAATACTCGTCGAATTTATTTAAACAAATCTAAGTCTTAAAAACATCAAGTTATATGAATGCATAACCACGGACTTTATCCAATTCCGTGTACAATATCTAATCTTAAACATAAACTTAGTCCCATGCAATTGAATAGATTCTTGATACATGAAATCCATTTAAATTCAGCATAAGCTTGTACATTATACTAGACAATTGATTTTCACCTGTAATTAGTTTATACCAAAACATTATCATTCTAGATTCTAGAAAAAAAATACTAATAATATACCATTATATTTGCTGTGGAGCTACACATGTTTAAAATTCTTTTACAAAACTGTACATGTAATTTCTCAATTATATTGGTATTTTAAAACCCCAAAATTTCTGAGGAGTACAAAAGAATTGGGAATATTAATACATCAAACAATTTTAATTGTAGGTCAATTGGTAAAATAATATTTCTTATTTTTTATATAATGCATACATTGCTTTTTGAGCCTGTTCAACAAGTTTTTTTCTTGCTTTACAGATAATTATAATGAAACAGCAGTCCTAGAAACGAGTAGCTGTCATGTGTTTGCAACTCTTCACCAAAAAGAGTAAAACGATTTTTTGGTGCAATTACTTTTACTTTTTTTTTAAAGATAACAACTTTAGTTTTATTGAGATTAACTTTAAGTTTCCAAATAGTACAGCAAGTTTCAAATTCACGGAAAGCATTCTGTAGACATTTAGCTGTTTCTGACATAACAACTGTGTCATCTGCATATAGCAGAATAAATAATTTAACAAACATACCCATGCGTTCTTGAAATAAATTATCAATATACTAGAGTTGGTCAACATTACGTTGCATGAAAAATTCTTCTGAATCATTTAAATATACTGAGAACAAAAATGGAAAGAGATTTTCACCTTGTTTTACCCCGACGTGACATGTGAAAAAATCAGTCATACCATTGCTAGTTTTTACGCAAGAATTAGTGTATGCATACAGATTAATTTAGCAATAAATATCTTTCCTGTGGTATTATTCTTTAATAATTTCTTCCATAAACCTACCCTCCAAACAGTATCAAACGCTTTTCTGAAATCTAATATATATATATTCATTATTGTATATATATAATAATTGATAGATTTCTGTCCGTTCCTGCCCGTTCCTGTAAATCGCCGAACCCCTAGTCACGGCATTTCGGTGATGTACCAAATCCCATATTTCCAGATAGGATGCGACATATAGAAGTAAATAACCTCAAGAAATGTGATATTTCACAGTAATAAAGACGCATTTGGTTCATAACTGGGTCGTATGGGGTAACATTGGGTAGTATTGGGTAGTATTGTGTCATAGTCACGGCATAGGTGGTGGGCACGTCTATCAAAAAAAAAAAAAATGAATATATAAAACTAGAAAGGTGAGGAACTCAGCCCCTACCAGCGGCTGGCAAAATTGAGGTAATTTTGTTTGAAGTGTCACAGAAATTTTATCCGCTAAAATCCTTCCCACAGCGTAGTCTCGATCGAAAGTAGGGACATTAATCTTTAAATAACACCCATTATATATCTTCAAAACAGTGTAGTTATTTCGTAAGCAGTTTCGAAGCTCGCGAAAATCACCGATTTGTGTTACCTCGGACACGATCCGGAACATTTTTTCGAAACAAATTCTTCATTCGGTACACAGAATAGCGGACGACGTAACATTAATAAACCATTGTATACTCAAAGATAAGGTCAAAACAAACTTGCTTACTTGTTTTACGCACCACTAAATTTCTCCTCTCGTGTCCCTCAAGTATTTTCTCCGCAAGATTTCACATTCAGCCCTCCTTCGTCCACCATCTTGGAGAATTTTATAATATGTAACACGCAAGCTGATTGGTCTAACGGCCGGTTAAAAATAGACGAAAATAGCTCGACCAATCAGCTTGCATATTATAAAATTCTCCAAGATGGTGGACGAAGGAGGGCTGATGTGAAATCTTGCGGAGAAAATACTTGAGGGACACGAGAGGAGAAATTTAGTGGTGCGTAAAACAAGTAAGCAAGTTTGTTTTGACCTTATCTTTGAGTATACAATGGTTTATTAATGTTACGTCGTCCGCTATTCTGTGTACCGAATGAAGAATTTGTTTCGAAAAAATGTTCCGGATCGTGTCCGAGGTAACACAAATCGGTGATTTTCGCGAGCTTCGAAACTGCTTACGAAATAACTACACTGTTTTGAAGATATATAATGGGTGTTATTTAAAGATTAATGTCCCTACTTTCGATCGAGACTACGCTGTGGGAAGGATTTTAGCGGATAAAATTTCTGTGACACTTCAAACAAAATTACCTCAATTTTGCCAGCCGCTGGTAGGGGCTGAGTTCCTCACCTTTCTAGTTTTATATATTCATTTATTTATTTTTTTTGATAGACGTGCCCACCACCTATGGTCACGGCAATTCGGTGATGTTTTCGGCACCAAATCTCATATTTCCCGATAAAATATGGCAGATGGAAGTAAATAACGTCTACATAGGTGATATTTCACAGTAATAAAGAAGCATTTGGTTCATAACTGGGTCGTATGGGGTAGTATTGGGTAGTATTGGGTCATATTGGGTAGTAATGGGTAATTAGACGCACCCCTCAATTTGTTCCAATATGCATGCTGAAACAGCAACGGAGGAGAGGTTTCTATAAAACCACTCACTCGATAGGTACCATTAAAATTCGTCATGCTACATACATACAAAGAGTTATGTAACTGTGTTACAAAGGTTTGTTCTCCTGATGAAAATAGTATATAATATGAAAAAAATGATGAAAATAGACAATATCTAAGCTACATGTATATGACAGTACTGTATATAAGATACAGGTAATGTGGGAGACCAGGTAAAATATATATGAAACAGACTATAACTGCTATCACAACATTATTGCCTCTATGGGTTTTTTTAAAAAGTGTTTACCTCTGTGCCTGTGACGAGTATTACACGGTTTATCATGACTTGTGTATAAATGTAAATACAGCATGGATTGTAATTAAATAAAGAGTTTATTTCATGTTTTCGTTTAGTTTATATTTCTTGTGCTTAAAATTTCGTTGGGATTATATTTCGTGGTTTTTATAAAACCACGAAATAAACAAAATTATACAGTACAACCATAGGTGGTGGGCACGTCTATCAAAAAAAAAAAAAAAATGAATATATAAAACTAGAAAGGTGAGGAACTCAGCCCCTACCAGCGGCTGGCAAAATTGAGGTAATTTTGTTTGAAGTGTCACAGAAATTTTATCCGCTAAAATCCTTCCCACAGCGTAGTCTCGATCGAAAGTAGGGACATTAATCTTTAAATAACACCCATTATATATCTTCAAAACAGTGTAGTTATTTCGTAAGCAGTTTCGAAGCTCGCGAAAATCACCGATTTGTGTTACCTCGGACACGATCCGGAACATTTTTTCGAAACAAATTCTTCATTCGGTACACAGAATAGCGGACGACGTAACATTAATAAACCATTGTATACTCAAAGATAAGGTCAAAACAAACTTGCTTACTTGTTTTACGCACCACTAAATTTCTCCTCTCGTGTCCCTCAAGTATTTTCTCCGCAAGATTTCACATTCAGCCCTCCTTCGTCCACCATCTTGGAGAATTTTATAATATGTAACACGCAAGCTGATTGGTCTAACGGCCGGTTAAAAATAGACGAAAATAGCTCGACCAATCAGCTTGCATATTATAAAATTCTCCAAGATGGTGGACGAAGGAGGGCTGATGTGAAATCTTGCGGAGAAAATACTTGAGGGACACGAGAGGAGAAATTTAGTGGTGCGTAAAACAAGTAAGCAAGTTTGTTTTGACCTTATCTTTGAGTATACAATGGTTTATTAATGTTACGTCGTCCGCTATTCTGTGTACCGAATGAAGAATTTGTTTCGAAAAAATGTTCCGGATCGTGTCCGAGGTAACACAAATCGGTGATTTTCGCGAGCTTCGAAACTGCTTACGAAATAACTACACTGTTTTGAAGATATATAATGGGTGTTATTTAAAGATTAATGTCCCTACTTTCGATCGAGACTACGCTGTGGGAAGGATTTTAGCGGATAAAATTTCTGTGACACTTCAAACAAAATTACCTCAATTTTGCCAGCCGCTGGTAGGGGCTGAGTTCCTCACCTTTCTAGTTTTATATATTCATTTTTTTTTTTTTTTGATAGACGTGCCCACCACCTATGGTACAACCCTTAGCTACAACAGAACAGATATTCTTGTCCTATACTTACAGGCGTTATTTAAACTCGTAAAGGATCCATAATATCTCCTTCCATTAGTGTGTATGATGGCTAGCTGTAATAATCCGGGGCGTTGAAGTATATAATGAAAGTATATATGAAAATCCGTCCATCACACAAACCCCTGCATTTCTTCTACAGGTCGATAACAGCTGCAATTCAGCCATATGAACAACTGACCGAACGTATGGGAAACTATGGCGGAAGAGAGCGATAATTATATCAACGAGGTAAATTCCGTCGAACAATAACCACATCCTAATTTCAGTGTAGATTCCGCCATAATCCTGAACCAAGGAGTCGGAGTCCAATACACAAACGGATCTCAGATGTTGTTTTTCTCATTTCATGAGCTTGTACCTTTTCTGCCGAAATTACTATATCATCCAATGAATCATTAAGATCATAAGAGTTGATGAAAGTCGCAGACAGAAGAACATCCAATCCCGAAGAACTCCGCCGTGGTTTACCAGGTAACGGATTCCGGCTTGATCAGTTGTAGTGTAGTGTGTATGTGGGATTCTGGTCTGTATTATGTGTGCAGTGTATGCGAGTATGTGGTCAGACCAGGTGATACACCGAGGTTATGAGCCGTGTAAAGCTAGTGAAGCGTTCTAAATGTCCCTGCGTTCGCGGCAAAATAGAAAGTGATTTGAGAAGAAAACGCTGTCATATCACGTATGGTTTGTTTCATTTAAATCCCCCTTTTCACCTGAGTTGATTTAACGTATGTTTCCCCTATGATTTGTGTGATCGAGTCGTGCTAGCTCGTAGCTGGGTTGTGTCATGTAAATTACGGCACGTGATGGCTCTGCGAAAATTCCCGCCAGCTTAGAGAGACAGGCAAATTCATGGCAGTCAAGATGGCTACTTAAGAAAAAAAGGGGGTGTACATTACGTTATAGAATGATAGGTGAAAAAATAAGCATACAAATAGCACACACGAATCGAAAATGCTTGAAAACAAATCAACTTATGACGAAGGTGCCTTTGTTATATAGTTTCAGAACATTTCCCCAACCTCAATATATATATATACAAACACACCAAAGGTGTCGATACCATGTATTACTACGTACAGTCCAAATAACTGTAACATATTTCCGGTCGATTTGAAAACAAGAATATTATAAGTGTAGAAGAAAACCTGAAAACGTGAAACGCTTACTGTGTACATCCTGATTTGATATGAAAACAAAATATTTTGTCACTGATGTAAAAAAAAAACACCAAGGTGTGTGGTACATAAAGACTAGGTTTTGCAAAAGGTTCCAAAATAGAATCTAGATCCGGCATTACCTGTAATTCAAAGAATGTTATTTACTCTTGAATATGTGTGAACAGTGTGGAGATTTTTTAGTCTGACAACCCGGATGTGACTTGAGACCACGTATACACACACAGACAGCTAATGAAGGACAATGAACTCAGGTTTTTAAAAGTAAGCAAACATTTGCATCAACGTTCGAAAGATGTTTTAATGTATTGCCTATTTACAAACAGAATAGCGTTAATCTAGTTGCAAGAAGAGATAAAAATATTTGTATGAAAGCCCTCAAACCGGCTTTAATGCACAATAATGTTAACAGTGTGTTGAATATTGCTGACGTCACAATTTGTTTTGCTATGCAACTATTTATGATGTTATGTAACTGAAAAACGGTGATTAATAAACATCATTCAGTCTGAAGCCCAAGAGAGCAGAAAGGCCTAGCGGTCAGTATTGTTTACTTGTTGATTTATTTATGTTATCCTTCGCAAGATCTTATTGCTATATATATAGTAAGATATAAATGTGCATCACTATTATATATATATATACATTTGTTAACGATGTACTCTTCTAAAGTAAAAATCACATTCAACTCTATCCCTTCTTAAATTTTAATTTCTTTACAAAATACCACGATTTATTTACATAAAAAAGACTGAAACATTTACCATTTCGTGGGATTAATGGAGTAAAGAAAAAATTATATACACCATATTGTAACATTTTGAAATAGATTGAAATCAAAACCTTAAAACGCTAGCTACTTTACCAGATGACATGAAACCTGAGGTGCTCCCTTAGTCAAGGCATATGATGAGTTCGCTACGAGTTCTATTCACGCACGTGTACCACGCCACCGATCGTAAAAATTCAATGCATCATAACTCGGTCGTTTTTTCATTTATCTAGCTAAAATTTGGATTATATATCAATACAAGTCTTATTAATAACATCTCATTTGATGTCGCTTACTTTATGAAGGATTTTTAAAGATATTGTCTGGTGACGCTATCTTAACTGTATAGGTTAATACACCCACGTGCCACGCCGCAGATCGTAAAATTCAATTCATCATAACTCGGTCAATTTTTCAAATATCAGATTGAAATTTAGTATAGAGGTGTATTATAGTCATATAACCAACATATCTTCTGGTGTCGCTTACTTTATTAGGGATTTTTATAGATTTTGTCTGGCGACACTTGTTGTCACTTGAAGACGCTTGTTGTCGGTTGAAGACGCTTTTAAGGAGGACCTGCCCTTGGCCCCTCCATATTCAGATTTTCTATTAATTCTATATGGAATGGCCCCTTTTAATTTTGATGTTGACTAAAATTTGCTCATGGCCATTTCACTTGTATGTTGTAACGTAAATTGTAAATGTAATTTGAATAGTATGTTTCATACTTGCTGGTGTTAAATATGCCAGGATGATAATTTTGTGATTGATACAACTTCACGGGATGTGATAAACATTTGATCAGAAGAAAGTTATGAACAGCGAATAGTATAACTAGTTCCGTTCGCAAGGAGAAAGAACAACCACGTGGTCCGATATATATTTTCTTAAATTTACTGTATTGTTGCAGTATATATATATATATTCAGTAATCTTAAAAATCGGACTCTAACCCTCTCTTCCCTCCCTCTCTCTCCAACACCTTTCAGCAATTTCATTTCATCAAATTTTATTGACAAGATGTCATAATCAATTGGATTGAATAACAGGCAAAGCCTATATAAATTCACTCCGTCAAATGGCCAAAGTTGGATAAACAAGGAAACATAATATTTTAGACATGTTGCAAATGAAAAAAAATAACACAAATTAATTCATAATAACACAATGCTAAGGGGAAGTAACTCATGAAGGAAACATCTCACACACCTCATACACACTTACACACACATACAAGTACATGTACAAATACATTTATTTCAGCATATATATACACTATCATAGACAGATATTGGCAGGCTTAGACCAAAAGTCCATGTGCATATATTGCACAGGTCACTGCTACCAACAACTGTTACAATTAAAAATAATAAATTCATTTAATACATATAAAGTGTAATTATTTACAATGTCATGATAAGTACACGCAATAGACAGTAGTCATGCTCAACTAGAATCTCCTGGATGAAATATAGAATATATAGTATATTTTTGTTTAACATCATGGCTTTAAGTCATATAAAAATTAAAACGACGGGATTTTCCAATAAAAATATGCACATCATCAAGTATTCTTCTATTTGTAAGCCCATCACAATCAGGACAGCCCTGGAGAAGAATGTTTTTATCAATGTGGTTGTGGTTTCCATAACTATTAAGAGAAGTGAACAAAGTTGTTCTTTGATTATTAAAAATAGGACATTCCAAAAAGTAATGAGATACTGTTTCATGTTCAGCAGAGCAGGTACAAGCAGGACTATTAGTAAGATGGTCATGGTGTAAATCATAATTTAAATTACTGCAAGAGTTTCGAAGTCGACATAGAATAATACTTGCTCTTCGGTTACCTTCTGTTTTGAAAATTGAAACAGATTCACTATCAGAAATAATATCTTTATTCAAATATTTTTTTAATGCTGCAGGAGAGGGAGAATTAAGAAGATCAGAATTTGCAATGTTAATTGTGCGGCACATTTGAGGGAAAAAACTGTCAAAATAGTTATTAGTTCTACATAAAGGTGGGTTGAAAAGCCTAGTTTGTCTGAGAGGGTAGGGGTTATCATTTTGATTATTAATAAAGGGATTTCACCTTTCAGCAATGCACTGAATAAAGATGCACAACTGAATTTAAAGACTTCATCTGGTTCTTCCAATACCACAAACACCCCTAACTGCACATACTCTACAATAGGAATAGACGTATCAACATAAAGCCGCCATATTGGATTTTTAGAGTTACGTCCCTTAAATCGGAGTAAAGACACTTCCGGTTTCCCTTTACACACGTGTACACGATACTGGCGATATCTGTTATCAGGGACACTTTTATCTAAAATTCAGAAAGTAGAAGTTGTTTGTTGTTATAATTAGTAACGATAGGATGTTCTCTGTGATGTGTTACAGATTAGTGATCATCAGACATTGCAATCGTCCATGTATATCAGTGTATTATGAGGAGGAATTATATTCATTTATGGTTGTATCAAAGGAAGAATATCGATGGATGTTCTTACAAACGAAATTAACACCCGGGGCTCCCTTGAGATATTTATAGAACGCTCTGAAGTCACCGATCAGCATCTCTGGTTTTTGCGAATGTCAGGACCCAAATCGGATCAAGGCTTGAATTTTGCAGTATCTTACGCTTCAAATGAATATTTTTTGTCAGCATATTAATATTTTATGATGACCTTTAGAATGTATATGACAAAAAGTAGTTCTATAGTGTGAATTCATTCCTATAGTGCAAAACAGAATGCATAGTCGTCGCACGCGCCGTTTTTAAAAAACGTGATAAAAACAATGATATTTGAGTTTGAATTACGTTTTCATGTGCTATTTGAACATAAAAACTAAACATCTGTAGACAAAAAAATGGTGCATAGCTATCTATTCTAAGACAACATCATTGCTACAACTGACTTATAAGTATTTTTGCAAAAAGTGATCCGATTTGGGTACTGATCCGATTAGCTCGAATTATTCTGACGTTTTATCGATTTTTTTTTATATCGGTCTGTCGTCGATTATATGCGGGAAATATGCGACCCGCGCCCGGAGCGCACTTCAAACTGATATTTTAGAAACAAATCGTCACTTTCACACACATGTCGCACATGGATCAAAAGATCTATTCTGTATGCACAAAAAAAATATAAAGCCCTATAGAGTGCGTCCGTGTATGTTCGTACAGGCATCTATGTTCGTACATGTTGAATTAATGGCTTATATAAATATGCTGGTGTTGTTTTATGTGTTAAAGATGCGACGTTTAGTTTCAGCATAAACATTACAATACATTTTACAAAATTGAGTGAGTGATACACAGCAATACAGACATATTATGGAGGATGGACAATATGTGTAATTATTCATTTGATCTCAGTTGTGAAGCAGAAATTAAAAATTTGGAAAGATTATTCAATTTCCTCTTACTTCTAACAGAAAGTAAATTAATTAATTTAAACAAAGACGGTGTAATTCTGTAATATCTGTCAATATATTGTGTTCTTACTTCGTTGTAAAATGGACAAACAAGAATAAAATGCAATTCGTCCTCTATATCGCCTAAATTACACTTTAAACAAAGTCTTTCATTACGAGGTATTCTCTCATATCTGCCCCTTTCTATACGAAGGTCGTGTGAAGATAATCTAAATTTCGCAATGGTTAAAATACAAGATTCAGGAAAAGATTTACAAAGATAATACTGAAGACAATTAACCTCGGGCAGACATCTATATAAAAAACATTTCGTAGAGTTTTCAAAAAAAAAAAGTTCATATTTTGTATAAAAACATCACGTAGACGTAGTTTAACGTCCAATATAAATTGATTCTTACATACAACTTTCTGATCATACCAAACATATCCAAAACCTAGAGACATTAACATTGATTTCACATTACTAAGCCAGTGGGTTATCGAGCTACTCTGTGTACTATATTTAGACACCTTGTTAATACGGTACATCCTATAATTTGATTGGATGGAAGTAGTTGGCGCCGGAAAAACAAACTTGCATGTTCCGGAGAGGTTTTCAGCAGTCCGGAAATCTGATATACGCCATAAGAACATTGCTATAATGAAAATACCTGGAACCACTGAACAACTAGAGCCGAGTGTTGCGATAACTATTTGTTTGATCTTGCTTTCTAACCATATATTTTCAAATGCTTACATTTTAATATTTAATAAAATTCACGTTTTTTTAGTGTATGAACTTACCATACTA